GCTTTGCTGCCTTGTTCTTTTTAAATTCAGTGCCAAGAAGTTTTCATAGTTTTTTAGAATTGCCCAAAGTTAAAGAAGTTTCATCATGTATATATATTTCCAGATCCCTGGTTACTCCCTTTTATATAAGGAAGTACCATTTTTAGTTGTGATTTTTAAAATGTGAGCTGCTTCCACCCCTCTGTGCCCCTCCAGAACCTCTGCAGTTTCATAGATTGTATAGGGTGTAGAAAGGGTTCTTTTTTTACTAACGAAATAAGGAGCATCAGACTCCAAAAGAAGCTTAGAGTCAGGTACCTCCCAAGTGCTGCTAGTTGGTTTTTATTAAAGGTGGCAGCAACAGGAGTAAAACCAAAAAAGGTGTTTGGTTGCTGCTTTCCCCAAATTTCATTAAGCTACTATGTGCCTGTAAAGGAGTGAAAATGAATCCTCTGGGACTGTGAAATGCCACACAGTTTCAGGTGAAACAAAAGTGACCTTATGGAGAACTCCAGAATCTCCCCTCACTCCCCTACAGTGTACAACCAGGACATGCCTGGCCTCTAGAAAAGGCAGCAGTCTGTGGAGCAACTCAACCTGATCCTGCCATTTAGACATGGCTTCAAGTGTGGTCGAAACCTACCATGCCAAAAGCTGTTACTAGTGGCATCTTAACCAACTCTGAGAAAGTCTTAATTGCTTGGTCCAGATTGCCCTGAGAAAGCTTGCCGGCCAGCCTAGGGTGAAAACCAAAGTGGAAAGATACCCGTTAGTGGAATATGTCTTGGGATCGCAGTAAATAGCTACAGTCCCCACCAACTCTACCTCTTTCACAGAGCAAACAGGAAGCAAACCGACCCTCTAACTTGCCAGAGTATGGAAGACCAAAGGCAGCCAGGGTTCTATCTGAAATTCAGATAGAATATTCTTTAATTTTTCCCTCTGAATTTTGTTTAAATTCCCCTTAGATATTTCATAAACCACTTTTACATGATCAGGAATTTCTGATGTTTTGCTAGCGACGCATCCAGAAGAATCTAGTCCGGTGTGAACTTCACCAGCGATTTGTTGAAAATTCCGCACCTGAGGTGACCCCTTTACAGGTGACTTGAAAATTTCGGTGTTAATTTTTTCTTCAACTAACCCCTTTCCGGCAGATAGGGCACTTAAAGGTCCCGGAGCACTTCCACCCACCTTCAGAGGTTGTTTACTTTTTGTGTCATTTTTAAATCGGGTACTTGTTTTAGAGATATTCTCCGAATTAGGGGAATTAACACCACAAACCCTTGTAGAATTTAATACCACAAGTTTTGTCCTGTTTGGGTGCACACTTGTTCTAGGGATTTTACCAGTTATAGGAGGGTAAATTGAATCCTCCACTGGTAAATTGAATCCCACAAGTGTGTTGTAGAATCCCTTCTGGTTTTAGGGACGGCTGATTTTACATGCTTTATTTCAGGTAATCCCACCAGTAGATCGGTAGTCTCATCAATAGTACTGACAACACGAGCGCTGGATTGATCAATTATAGTAGACCCCCCTCCCACTCGATGTAAACCGAAGTGCAAAACAGGGTTTTCTCAAATTTCCGAAACTTCGCAAGCCATAGCGACCACATGACCCCTTTTTAATTTTTTGTATTGATCAGATGGGTTTACGAGGCACACGACTGGTTTTGAATTTTCAGACAAGACAGTTCTGGGTATTAGTAGTCCCTCTTCTTCTTTACCTTGAACGACAATTTTTCCAACTTTTTCCAACTTTTCGTCGATCTCGCTCGTTATCCTAATTTAGGGGTACTACCACATTTCTTGACACACTAACCTGAGCTATCTTTATGTCTTGTGCACGCGACTCGATTTGTTGCATTGGTATGTCGCGCCCTTCTATTTGAATATAACCCAAATTGCAATGCACGCTCGCATTAAACTGGGCGATTAGGTCGTGGCCTGGGAAGGCCTTGTCTGATAACAGAGTATCTTCTGGCAGATACAGTAAAGTGAAAGTCTGCTACCTTTCCCCATCTGTGTATTCTAATATTTTTTAGCTTCTGATTATTAGTGGTTGAATGTTTATAATGAATGTTTTTCTTTTTTTCTAGTTCACACACAGTTTGACAGCTGTTGTACAGTGTCATGTTTCTCTGTAGTGGCCTGCTTGATGTGGTCAGTTTGGGATGATATGTATTGGACCCAAGGTGGAGCAGTGGTCATTACCCACCGTCACCCATCACCATGCCAAAAACACCTCCTTGCAGGTAGTGCACAAAATTATTGCTTGGTTTTGTTTTACAAGTCCTGTTACAATAGATAATTTGTCTTCTATCCTTCCCCTGTAGATCAACAAACCAGTTATCATATTTTGTGCTTCCTTTAAATTTAAATAAAATTTTCACTTCTCTCATGTTACTCCTCACAAAATGTACTTCTACAAGGCACATTCAACTGATATACTTATCCCAGATTATTACAGCCATTGTTTATAGGCAGTTTGTGTGTAAATTTCTCAAAAATCCCAGATTTGGCAGAGTTCTGTTTATTTAACTTTGATCAGTTTAAGATTGTGACAGTTGTACCAGTCACAATTGTGTCCAGCAGCCTCCAAAATATATTTTAAACTTGTCTCTGTTCAGTCACCATAACTTTGATGTCTGCCATATTAGGTGGACATTTGGCAGTATATTGTAGGTTTAATATTCTGCTGGCTCTTGTGGACTGTCAGGGTTCTGTCTTTTTATTAAGATAATTTATGTCACTTCATTAATATAATCTTTTGTCTCTTTTTCCAGTTCCATTCTCCATAGAGCATGGTGTCTTCTAGGTGAACAGACTTTACCTGGCTGAACATGGGGGACATGTATTGTTAATATGAAATAGACAGGAAATAGCAGCTGCAGAAATATACCTTCATCTCACACAGTTGTACAAGACACAGCAAGTTTCAGGATGAATGGGTTGTGAAGAGACAGAGACAGGACAGCCATGGTAAACAGGGAACTGGACTTCTTGCAAGTTGTACACAAAATGAAGGTTGGTTTTGTTTTTCAAGTAACAGTGGGTATAATAATGTATAATTGGTCCTCTTTCTTACCTCTGTAGAGGCACAAGGCCAGTTTTCACAAGTTTTAGATTTAAATGATTTTAAATGTGACTTGAAAAGCATTGGTTTTTATAATTACCACACTTCTTTATTTGGAAAAAAAAAACATTGTAATTTGCATCGAAGCATTAAAGTCATTAAATGCATACTTGATCCACACATCTCATTTGTAAACAGTGCATTTCAAGAGTTCTAGCCATTAAATCTTAAATGCACAAAACATATGCATACTTCAATTAAAATGTTGTTCATGGCATGTGCATTGAAGATAGTGGCTGAAAGTCATGTTCTTTGGTTGGCTGAAGCACTCGATTTTATTAGCTTCTGATCATCAGTGGTCAAGTGGTTGAATGTTTTGTTTAATGAATGTTTATCTATTTTCTAGTTCACACACATGGTTTGACAGTTGTTGTACATTGTGAAGCGTCTCCTTAGTGGCCTGCTTGATGTGGTCAGTTTGGGATGAAATGTATTGGACCCAAAGTGGAGCAGTGGTCATTAATTCCCTGGGATGACCCATTGTTATGACAGTGACTGGACTGCTTGCAGGTGGTACACTAAACTAATTTAATGGTTAATATTGTTTTACAAGTCATGTGACAATATGTAATTGGTCTCCTAATCTTCCTCTGTAGAGAAAAAAACCAATTATGATATTTTTGTTTCCTTTTTAGTTAAAGTAATTCTGTCTTGAATTAGATTTTTTATTAGTAATTTCCTTTGTGACTCCTCTCAAATTACTCCTCAGAAAATGTCTTTTAAGTAGCCAAAGCCAATTGATATAATTATCCCAGATTTTTACAGTTGTTAGGCATTTTGTGTGCAAATTTCACAAAAATTCTAACAGATTTGGCAGAGTTCTGTTTATTTAACTGTATTCAGTCTTAGAATGTGCTGGTCTCGGCAGTAACAATTGTGTCCAGTAGCCTCCAAAATTCAAGGTCATTTTTAACTTATCACAGTTCAACCACTACAACAATGATGTCTATCATATAAGGTGGGCACTTGGCAGTGTACCATAGTTTTAATATTTTTCCCAACTGGCTTTGGTGGACTGTCGGGTTTTTGTTTTTTCTTTGTTTTTAGATAATTTGTGTTCCTTCACTTATACATTGTCATGGCTCTTTTTCCAGCTCCAGTCTCCATACAGCATGGTGTCTTCTAGGTGAACTGACTCTACCTGGCTGAACATGGGGGACATGTATTTTATAAGAAGCAGACATAAAAAGGCAGCAACAGGAACATCTTCATCTCACCCAGTTGTGCAAGACATGGGATGTGGCAAGTTTTAGGATGAATGAACAGCCAGAGACAGGACAGCCATTGTAAACAGGTGACTGGACTTCTTGCAGATAGCAGACAAATTTAAGTTTTATTGTGATTAAGTGCTCAAAACACAAAATGAATACTTAATTTGATTTTCATTACTTATGAGCAGTATCAAGATATAAATATCAAGCATTGTGATACAAAAATGATATTGTGCATCTTTCAAAAGCATCCTGTATATGAATAAAGTATCATTAGATGGTTCCTAATAATAGTTTGCACTATATTACAGAGATAATCCAGTTGCATTGCAAACACTCATTTCATCTATATTTTTAGGAAATACAGTTCCGGAATTGTATGAAGAACTGCTGGCAGACCAAGAGGTCAATTTTATACTGAGTGAGAGAGAGTGCTGCCAGAACCACCCAGAACAAGACTTCCAAACATGGCAGATCCTGTGGAGCCAGTTATATGGAACAATACAATTACACAACAAATGTGGGTTTCAGGTAACACAAAGAATCCATTTCCCCCATATACATGGAAACTATAGAGGCAGGGTATATAAAGCAAGGAGATTGTTTTGGACAATACTCTATCACTGAAGACAAATAGACACAATGGAAATGTTTAAAAGTGAATTGATATTTCAGCTCAGTTGTGATGTGTTATAATAATTTTCCCCATATGCATGGAAACTGTTACAGTACTAGTAGAGGTAGCATATACAGTGAGATCGTGGTAGACAATAAGTCATCACTGAAGAGAAAAAGACATCAGTGAAAATGTTTAAATGTGAATATATATTTCAGGTCAGATATGATGTGTTATAGATGATCTCTGTTATTGTGAGGTCATTAAGGTATAATTGCAAATTTTATGACATATTTATTATATACAGACACTTTCAGTCTGTCTATATTCTGATCACTGTGTCTGTCCAGTGTCATTGCCATAGTCAGCACTTTGTGACACATCTGTTGTTTACCCTAAAACTGGTAATCTGTATTTTTGTTTTGAATTCCTCTAGAAACTCTGCATGATTTGATTATTTTATGATATTGTTTTGTTATCATTAGCAGTTTGGATATGATGCTACAGTATTTCCTGAGTATATCAAATTCAAGTAATTTCTGATTCTGATATTTATTTTAATTACTAAATATTGCCATCTTGTGAATTTATGAAATTATTATAAGTTCATTGTTAAATGATTTGTCAGGTGCATGGCAGCAGTCAGAAGGTTCATTGGTCTGATAGTTTGATGATGCCAAGATCCAATG